CCGGCACCGGGGGCCCGGGGACCAGTGCTGCTGTTAGAATGAGTGCCCCACACATTGCAGCAGTGCCCCAGACACTAGATGCCGTGCAAGGCCGTAGGACGAGGCGGTCCCTGCCCCAGGGCGCGTACAGTCGGCAAGACCACAGCGCAACAAGAGCCACGAACCGCAGCAACACCGTGGTGTGCACACCATGCGCCCGAACGGGGAACCGACAGGGACCGGGGGCACACAAAGCATCCTCCCCCCGAGGTGCAGGAAATAAAACCTCGCTCAAGCGGGAGGAAAGAGGCTGCCTGGGTGCGTAGCCCAGACGACCGTGTCCCTGTGCCCCACGACGGTGCAGTGCCCAGGCAGGCAGCCGGCGAACACGGGCGGGGGCGGGGCAGGAGGGGATGAGCCGACAGTGCACGGGGGCAGACGGCGAGAAAGGAGCAGGCAGGGAAGGTGTCTTGCGGCCCGAGGCTGGGACTGAGCGTGAGGGGGAGGGGGGAGATTTGGCTAAGCTGCTTCCCGGCAGGGACTCTGCGGTGGCGCTGGGGTCTCAGGGCCCCCCCCTTTGGGGAGGGGCTACACCCCACACTCTGCTGAGCTCACGGGACTTTGGAAGGGAGTCTCAGCAGGGCCACACACACTGGGCAGAGGGGCGTGTGGGGGGCTCCCCACCCCGAGAACAGTTTGGGGTTTGGATGGAGGTTCGGGGCAGGGGTGAGAGGACCGGGGCGGCGGGTGATGCAGGCAAGGGAAGGCGTTGCCTTGCCTACACTCCCTGAACACTAGGGCGGCCTGGGGCACAGCAGCCCTGGCTCTCTGGGTGGCCAGGAGGGAGGGGGCTTGAGGGCTGGGATTGGGCAGGGCTTGGTTGGGAGTGAAGGGGCGTGTTCTTGGGAGGAAGGGGTGTGGCTTCTGGGAAATGGGTGGGGCTTAGGCTTGCCAGCCCCAGCTGGGCCTTCACCTGCTGCCCATGGAGAGGACCCCGGTGCTAGCCCCCTGGAAGACACCGCCCAGCTCCCCTCTGTGCCCTGGGGCTGCCGCGGTTCCATCACAACCGGGGGCTGGGAC